AATAAATGTGTATATATATATATATATATATATATATATATATATATATATATATATAAAAGAAGGGATTCGTATATTCTATGAATAAATTTACCTAAATTTTCATTAAATTTCAATGATCCAACCATTGAATTCAAAGTTCTTAATGCATAGATCAAGTCTACAAATTTTGAAAATCATTTGATACTCATTTTATTACTTCAAATCAACGTATAAAATGATTTTATGATTATCCGACCATTTAAATCAATGAAATGAAATATCAAATAATTTTTAAATTTTTTAAAGAGTTGTAGACTTGGTCTATATATTAAGAACTTTAAATTCAACTGTTGAATCATTAAAATTTAATGTAAAACATGAGTTATTGAATGTGATATGTTTAGATAAATTTATTCATGAAGTAAACGAATTTTTTTATACATATATAGAGTAAAATCCTCATAAATGACACTTTTGATGTATTGTTTATCCACAATAGATTTTGTCATTTACAAGCTTACAACATAATAATAAAATCATGATCAAAGCATAGAAGACACGAGCCAAATTATGAATTTAACACCATAACGGATGCATGAGAACAAGTATGTTTACCAAACCAAACAAATCATAGATAAGTACTAACACTAAAAACATTTATTCCAATGATTAACATATTTTTTAATATTTATAGTTTTATTACTTATCTTATTTTATAGTTTTTATAGTTTAAAACAAATTTTTTATTCTTTATATTTATCCTTTTCAATATTTTTTAGTTCATATAGTTTAAGGTAAATCTTTTTAATTCATATTGATAATTATTTTCTAATGTTGTGTTGACGTGGTTAAAGTTTTTAATTTTGTGAGAATAGAAAAAGTGTCTCAATAATTGATGTCAGACGTGAAGGTTCATACGAAAGTGACATGAAGTATTGAGAAATCTAATTTAGAGTAATGCTAACAAAATAAAATTGACATCAGAGACACAATTGAATTAGTTCCTATAGTTAAAAGTAGATCTTTTTAGTTCATATCGTTAATTTTTTTATAACTTTGTGTTGATGTGATAAAAATCTTTAATTTCATGAGAATAAAAAAGTGTTTCAACTATGCATGTTACATGTGAGGGTACAAAAGAGACATGAAGTATCAAGAGATCTAATTTAGAATAACTCTAACAAAATAAAATTGACATCAAATTAATACACAAAATTAAATTAATATCTTGGTTACATCAACACGAAAAAGATAACATTACAACAACAAAAAAATTAATGATAGAGATTAAAAGATTAAAAAAACTACAAGTATAGAGACTTAAAAGTATAGGAACTAAAAGGTAATGTAAGTGATATTATAGAGACTAAATAATATTTTAACATATTTTAAATTATAGAAACTAAAAAGATAAAATAAAGTGAAACTATAAAAATAAAAAAGACATTTCAACCAATTTTTAATCTACCAGACTAGCAAATTTACATAAATACACTTTCTGTATTATGTCATGTATAAAAAAATTGGAGTTACTAAAGTCCTTTTAATAACTACTATACATACTAGAAAAAAGAGACACTCTCTAGTTATAAAAAATAAAATAATGAGTGATTATTTAATGAGATTTGGAAACCAAACATCTTTGAAGTAGAAAAAAGACATAATAAATAAATAGATTAAAGATAATGAAAGAAAAAGTGATTTAGAGTTAGTTACAAGGATAAATTAGCCTAAAATTTGTGTATATAAAAATAGGGTATCTCTTTTATTAATAGTATAAATATAAATGAAATAGGTAAATTTATATAATTAGATTTCTCTATATTTCATCACATGTAAAAGTTGAGGTTACTAAAATCTTTTTAGTAACTTTTTCTCTTTAGTTTTTTTTTTATAACTTTTTTAATTAATTTTTTTTGAAACCCTAACAAAATTATAATAAGAAGGAATATTTTATTTTTTAATTAAATCTTTAATCTAAACTCTAATGTCACCAAATTCTTTCTTAAAACTTAAAAATGCCACATAATAAAAAATAATCACTCCCTATATATTAGATACAAACATATATCTGTGCAAGAATGTTTTTAAAAAATTTTCTTCAAAGGTTTATAAGAATTTTTTTAACTTTTATTTAATTTTTTTATTTATTATAATTATTTACAAATTAAATATTAATATTTTAAAATAATTTTTTTATAAATAAAAATAATTTTTTTATGTGTAATCATACTTTAATCTATCATATAATTACATAAGTAATTTGTCTTACATGCGATAGAAATATATATCTAAAAAAAAAGACATTTTTATTTAGAAGTCCAATTCTAATATACAAATTTTTAAATAATATTTATTTCATAAGTAATAGGAAAAGAAAAATAGTTGTGCGTAAGCACGAATTACTTATTAATTATGAGAAGAAAAGAAAAAGTTGAACAAATACATTTTATGATCGTGACCGATTACAAATCAACTTTTATTTATGTAAAAATCTCTTAAAAGTAATTTTTTTTATCACTTTTTAAAGCTTAAATATTCTTCCCAATCTTGTCAGGAAAAAACAAATTAAATTTCAATTTTTTTATTTTTTATTTTGAGCTCCAATTAATCTTCTTGTTAGTTTATGCCGGATGTCCATCTCTATCAAATATGAAAAATTTAAAATTGATCTCATGCAAAAGTTATCAACCAGCTATGTCAAATATATATGTATAATTAAATCAGTAAAGTAAAACATTCCAAGAGCAATTCATGTATGTACGTATAGATTTATATTTATATATATATATATATATATATATAAACGTGTGACAATCTTTCAGTATCTCCTTTATACACGAAATCAGTCCTTGAAAAATAGTGTTAAAAACACATGAAGATAACAAAAGTTTAAGGATATTTGATTAGAGTTCATTTTCTTTTTTTGAGTACATTTATAATTGCTTTACTTATAGTGTTACGCATGGTTGTCAGGCCACAAGGCTGAAATATTGGGTAAACTAGTTCAATTTAACTGTTCACTACATCACATCATCTTGAACTACTTCCCAATTCACAATGATTTTCCAACTTGGATGTAACAAATATAAGTATGTGGTTGAATATACTACTCTCAAGTACTTCTAACTCAAAAAAAAAAATGAATTTTTTTATAAACTAAAATTAGGTAATGCGTGAATAAAAAACATGAGTTTGAAGAAGTTAATAAAAAAGAGTTTTTACAAATTAATTTATACATAAAGTAATTTTAATTTTTAAAAAAGTTTATTACATTTTTTTCTTCTTCTAACTTTTACTTTTGGAAAAATGTACATAAACAGACTCTAACTAGACTTCAACAAATGTCAAAGTTTAGTGATGAGATCTTAAGATGAGGAAGAAATGGAGATTACAGCCTTTAAGTCAGCAAGGCACTCAGTTGGAAGACCAAGAAAGGAATTCATAAGGAAATCATCAATAGGATCAACTGTTGCCACACCAACCAGTCTGCATTTTCCCTCTTTATCCAATCTCTTGCCTCTTCCACTCTTCACAATGCCCTTTGATTCTTCAGATGTCAACACTGTCTTCACCAGCAGTGGGGCAGCCTTATAGAGACTACCAGCAGAAAAAATGAATCTGGCCTTGAACTCAAGATCAACCTTTTAAAAAAAATTATAAAAAAAAAAAAAACCGAAGCAACCATATCATTAATTGGGTGGTTATACATGGAACTAAACTAATTAGAGAGACACCTTTGGCAAATTAAAATAAGATCATGCTTGACCAACTGTTTTTGCCTTTACAATATGCAGAAGTTTCTCTAATTAACTTTGATAGTGTAAATTCATTTTATATTGTTATTTTATCGCAAATTAATATATAGAGAGTAAATTTATTGACTTTTATTATAACTGTTATAGAAGCGACAAATGATTTTTGAATGATTAGTGGTATAAAATTTTCACAGATAATCAATGTCTATTAAACTATTGTATTTCACTCATCTTTCTCTAAAATCAGTCCTAAAAGAAAATTTGAAACAAACACGCAGCTAACCATTAATTAGGGTCACTAAAAGTTGTACACATAGCATTTGTTTGAATAAATTTCTGTAAAATTACTTCTAAAAGAAAAAAAATAGGAAATTAAAATTAGCTTATAGATAAATTAATATGTAAAAATTCTATAATATAATTTTTCTAAAAAAATATACATAAGCTTATGTATAAATTAGTTTTATCTTGTAAAAAAATTTATTCATTTTTTTTTTCATTTTCTTTTTTCAAAAGAATTATAGAAAAATTTATCCAAACATACCAATAATACACAATCCTTTGAAGTTGAAGTATAATCTCGATAACTTATGTTTACCTTGCCAGATTCTTGGTTAATACTTCCTTGGAATGCTTGTGGAACTATATCAATCTTCAAAAATGGTGGCAATGGCAATCCAAGAAACTTGGTTGTAGAACTTCTTAGTGGTGGAATATACAAAGTTTCAAGATCAAATGAAACAGGAAGGTCATTTTTGGTTGAATTCTCTGTGACCTTCGCACCAACTCAGTTCCTATTCCCCCTTCAGCATCATACTCAAAGTCAGGATACCTTGAAATTCCAAGCTTGCAACCCTTTTCTGTCTTGAAACTGACAGTGCAAGACTCGGTTGTTGAGGGTTCAATGCTTGTGGAAATGGTATTTTCCTGTTTTTCACTTGAAAAGGAAAAGAAGATAGTGCTTCTTCTTCTTCTTCTAAACTTCGATTTCTTGGTACACAATTTGCATGGAAATGGTGGGCTTAAGGAGTTTATTTTGCAACTCATCTAGTGTGTGTGATTTAATTACTTAATGAGAGATGAAGGTTGGATCTAGCAATGTGCTTCGAAGAATAAGTCCTAGCGGAATTAGGAATTAAGATCTGAGGTTGGTTTTGGTTTAAGGCTATGAATCTTATCTTTTCATATGGGGTCTTGGCTTTGTGCAATAGGAAATCAACACTTGGTAGTTTAATGTTATTGGGTAGAGAAAACAAACAAAATGGTCCGTAGACTTCAATTCTTTGTTTTACAAAATTGAAAGGAGCTTCCGCCACAAATTGGATTAAGGGCATGTCTAGATAACTTTTTTTTCAAAATTACTTTCAGACAAGAAATCAAAATGATTTTTTTTTATATGTTAAAATTAGCTTATAAATAAATTAAAAATAAAATTTAGAAAAATAAACTAGAGAAAACTTATACAAATTAGTTTATATATATATATATATATATATATATATATATATATACTCATTTAATATATATTTTATGATTTTACTTTTTAGAATATTTTTTTTTGAATTCTAACTA